TGGTTGAAGCCCACGCAACAAGTTAAAATGAATCTCTTTGGGGGCACTTTTCGCTCACACACACTACCACGAATTCAATATTTTATGCACACAACCCTCAACTCACATGTCAATCTTGAAATTGACGCAATAATCCTTTTTTTTTGTTGTTTTGCAGTATTACATATATAGTGCATATATAGTGCATTTATCAAACTCTCTTTGCACTTCTGAAGATGGCATACGTTTTGCCGAAACAYGCATGTAAAGTACAAAAAACCTCAGTTTACGAAGCGTCATCTGTTATTTTCTGACATTTTCCGATGTGGGTTTGTGGGAGTAAAAGAGTAAAAGACAAGAGATTTTAATCTTAAAAAAATATAGAGAGGATATTACATGAGCGCGCGGAGATACGAAATCTTCGAGTGTTGAAAAGATCTCTCACGAGAAAATAAATTTCGTATCTCCAAGCGCCTATGTAATATTCTGTTTATTATATAATTATCCATAAAATCAACTTAATAAGCTTTTTATTATTATAAAAAGTTTTCATCTACAAAATAATAGCTTAAATACACATGGTAACGATATTTTCACTTGTGAAAATATCAGTTTTTTGAAAAGGAGAAATATAGGTATTTTATGGATAATTATACGATAAAAGACATTTTTATTTTTGTAAATAATTCAAAGGGAGGATACTTACTGCAAAGTGATAGTTCTCTAGTTGAACCGGCCTTGCATTTGCCGTCGACTGGAGATGATAGTCCTGGGGGCAAGACAAAGCAAAAACGTTACACTTAAGTTTCAAGGTGAATKTTAGGGCGTTAAAATATCGTCCATGACCTACAGGAGCGACAAACACATCCCCTGTATGTGACGTCAAAGGAGCTTAATTTAGGAGGGCAAAACAAAATAATTTCATTTTCTTAGTAATTGGAAACCTATTTCTTATGTCCTCCAAATTTAGCTGCATTCCGACGTGCTGTAAGGGGTCTATTGCTGGGTTTCACTGACGTCATTTACTGTTTCGTGCGGAATGTTCATCAGCTGAATCACTAGTTTTCAATAAAATTCTTTCAGGCCGACATCGCATGGTGGTCAGTATTTGACTACCATTTGAAGCAGATAATTCAATAAGAGACCCAGCAATTTGAAGACGTTAGAGTGTGTGTCGAGCAGCTCCTCTGTTAATAATAAGCAGTTGGGAGGTTGAGGGGAAAATGCGTGGAGTTGGCATTGCAGTACATTGTGGGGACATGTATCCAAGATGGCGTCCATTCCGTTTCCTAAAACATACCCACAATGCACTGCAATGCCAACTCGACCCAGTTAACTCATCAACCTTGGAAAGGCTAATAAGTTTATAGATTCAGATATGATAATACTACAATAGTTTAGTTACCTGCGCAGGCTGGTATTTGAGTCAAGACCTGRTAACCTCCATTGTAGTAGATCTTCCATTGWCCCATCATACATCTGTAGACAGCATTAGTTAGAGACCTGGCACCGACGGGCTTAGGGTTGAAATAGTAGCCGGGTTGGCATCGAAGATACAATAGCATTGCWGTCTTTATGGCATTACCATTAGCTGGGTGTTCAAGTGCTGGACAAGTAATACCT